ATAGCGAATGATCCAACAAATGACGATGACCAATTGTTGACAAGAAGATTTACGCTTCCCATCTGATATCGTGCAAACTTTGACTTCGGCTAGTAGATTGAGACAGGATCTCGAATTTGCACGTTTGTATAGACGCTGAGGTAAATTGGTAAGAGCTTTAATGACAGAAGGACCTATCGTGCTCAGAATAAGTCCGAGCTAGCAAACGATTGGTGAAAACAGCCTCGCTATTGTCAGTACGTCAGTTCAACGGGCGAAATAAGTCGACGGAAATGGACATTCGTTCTCAGGTAAAATGCCGATGAAGGAAAAGTAAGAGTAGTATTCTACGCCATACGCGATCAGGTACACGATCATAACCACGGACGCGATCGCTATCAGGTACGCATTCACAACCACGCACGCGATCGCGATTAGATAGGCGTATACCACACAACGACATCGCGACCAAGATAGAGATCACGATGAGGTACGCGATCCCGATGAGGTACGCGATCACGATCAGGTAGGTGTGCACTATACCCACGCAATTCGCAACCCGCGATCCGAAGACTATATGGAGTGGAACACTTCGTGTAAGGGGACGTCGACAGATTCAGAACCTCTAGTAAGCATCGTGGTAGGTCTTGGGTGATTGGTTAAACGTTGCACAGAGTTTAATATCCTTCGAAGTACACGTGTAGACTTCACCTCCGGGTTGGATTACTGGCCAGCCGACATCAGGAAAAGTCGCACATGCTAATTATGTAATATTCCTAGATTGTTTGGTCAAGGCCCAAGAATTTTCACGAAACAACCTTAACTGTGATCGGACGCAGCAACGCAGTCGAAGACAAGGTACAAGATCGCGAAATGACTCAAGTGGTTAGAAGGTCAGGCAAAAAAAGTATTTAGTTTTTGGACCAGGTCTCGACGAGATCAGGGTGACTCATAACGACCACCCTGCAAGCATACCCGTGATCGTGTGAAGATTTCCTCATGATCACGCCATCCTTATCAAAAACACGGTCAATTTTCCGATGACACAAGTCCACCTAGAAGAGTGCAGCCCGCCCTTCCGACTGGTACACAAGGTGAAGAAGGAAGCTTAACACATGCAAAACGGAGTACCCCATCCGGTAGTCGGTTGTCTGGGCGTCAGTGGAGATTTGGGTCATAAGAACCTTTTAATCGTCACTTTAGTACAAGGCAATGATGCCGAATGAATGATGTATTGTGCAACGATATTATAGCGTGACTAAACTCTACTATGTATCAATGCATGGAATGGTATCAGCCAAATTGATATCAGAGAGTAGGTCTTAGAGGTTATAGTTGACCTTATTGAGTTCTACTGTTATGATTATTTTGTTGGCAACATAATCAGATACGTTTTATTAGTAGACCATATATTTACCTTGGTCGAGGAGGGTGACAAAGCTTAAAAATTGTCAAGCGGAATTATAAAAGATATTGAAGGATCGTTCGCCACGTCACGATCTGGCTGATCGGTTTCATGCGCATATCAAGGAAAGATTCAGGCATTTAAGTAATGAGATGATAGTTGAAGCTGTAGTGAATAAAGCACAGCTTAAGAATTATAGAAAGAGGTGTATCCACCATACAGGTAACTTTCAAATGCATGCTTAACTCGGCGAACTCGGATTTTATCGACCCGACCAAGGTTCAAAAACAATGGAACGTAAGCAAAAGAAAATCAGCTTGATAAATTGAATTCTAGAAAGGGCACGGATACAAATGTGCTAGTAAACAAGCTCGGCAACACAATTGTTAGCGGAATAAACATAGCAATTGATCTACATGTCAGGCGTAGTATTCGAAACCTACTAATTTTTATAAAAATCGACAACTCGCTGAGATTACCCGTTGCCGATAAAAACATCAAAACTACGTGAACATCCATGCATTCTCTTTAACTTTGACAAGGGAGTTGAATGACGCATACATGTGCTGCGCACGAACGACGGCAAAAAAGACTTCAATATTGACATGATCCGCGAGCCAGCTGGCTTTAGATGCAAATTCAGCAAAGATGAGAAATAGATAGGACCTGAGCTGGTGCACAGGAAGGTATTGCGCATAGGAGGTACATGTGATTTCTAGACGCCTTCCTCTTTTTTTGAGAGCGACTCTACAAATGATTGATACTTGTGTTACAAAACGAATATCTCATAGCACCACCTCTAAGTGCATATCTCCGCTTGATATAAAAATCTGTGTTATCCTTACCTGACAAATATAGTAAACCCTGTCATCTCATGCTCGTCGTCTAAGGACCTGATATACGGGATAATTGAAACCCGACGATTCAAAATGTCATGTCTATTGGCAAAATTGTACGACTAAAAGCAAAATTGCAAAACAGACGTAATATAGTAGTAATTATCACAGTGCAGATTATTTGCAACATCAGGAATATGATAGCATGTAGACCGCGCATCTTTAACCATAAAGTGAATGTAACATTTCATGCGTTACCTGATATTGTGCAGTGCGTGAATACCGTTAGACGGAAGGATTTGAGGACAGAACATCCGACATGAGAGACACGATAGTATCTTAGTTTACTGAAGGTAGGAAGATTTAGAATACAAAACGATATGAATCAATACAGTAAGCTAAAAATCTTTGTCGCTGAATAGGAACTATATTTAATTACACTTATACATCGGTGAAGAGATGACTCCCGTGTTGGATCAAGTTTGATCTGAATCACAAATTCGGAACATGTACCATGCATTGACTTGTGGGCTTATAAAAAGGCCATAAAGGTCAAGATACCGCCAATTTCCTCGAGACGATGTCAGACCCGCAAATCAAGGATAACAAGAACAAATTGTTTTTAAGGATTGCTAAATCATATTATACTGATTCTTGTGATGTTATCCAAAAGAAGCGCAAGCCAAAAAATTGCTTTGTCACTTTGAGAGTGATTAGAGGGATTAGAGGCTTACTTCGCACGATAAAATATAGTGTGAAAACACGAGGCGATATTCGTGGCTAACAGAATCATACAATTAGATAGCGTAATTTTACTTACACGCTTAAGTTGTGATATGAATGGTTTAATCATGTAAAATAATGCTTCTTTATAAGCTAGGAAGTACGATGAACGAATTGGTGGTATATTATGTTCAACTTGAACTGGTCAAGTTGCATTGCAGAGATAATATATATTGAACGTTCTACAAACGAGAGTAACAAACACGAAATGTCAATAACATTTTCTTCTTACAATTTTCGCAAACGTGGATACGACACTACCTACGAAAAACACGCCCTCAGTTAAGCACTTTAAAAGAAGATTGTAATGCAGAGGTGTTACATTCTATGATCGAAAAATAGACAGATTTACGTTCACAAAAATACGTCATAGCTAAACTAAACATTATTGTATGTTGCTATGACATTCGTATTAGTTGCTATTGTTATTGTTGTTGTTATTTTTTATGTTTCAATTTTGCCGCCTTAGATTTGAGTTGACAATGTTGAGTCTATATCTACATACCAAGTGATATTACATACACTTATACTAGTAATAATGGAAAATCTCTCTTATAGCTTTTGTATTTTTATATAAATATATCACAAATAGATGGTTGTTATTATACCGCGTAATAAATAATGTAATAGTATACGTTATTGAGCCAAACATCCAAGTGCTTGAGCATTTTGTACTCATCCCTAAAAATGAGATGAAATTTCTTTCTTTTATATTATTAAATTTTATTTTATCATTATAATTAGCTTTTGTGTGTGAGCAAACCTAATATTTTGTGCAGGTTTAGATGTCCATTATCGCATATAACAAATGAATAACAAATTACTTATCACGATTAATTTACATTTTATTAAAAAAATCATTGGAGAAAGACCTACACGCACAATTACATAGTTTATAAGTATTTTTAGTATAGATAACAAGAAGCTTGACCCGAATACGCCACTCAGTGCGCAGTTAGCACTGACTGGTGGTTCTACGAGTTGGTAAATAGGGGCCATTTTGTTTGCGGTATAGCCACTGCAATAACGAAATCATTTATAATGAAAAGCCTCTCATTTATGTAAGTAATTGACTCGATGTTTTAACTTAATTCTTAAATGTCAATCGCGTGTAACGGATCATAGTGGGCAACTCTTGCTCACCTCTTCTTGCGCCTTTGGTCGTTAGTTAATGGCTTCATTGGCCAAATAATAATCTTGGGTCAGACGGTGAGCAATATGTTGTCAAGTGCAGTTGGATACTGTATTCGCACATAATGACATAGACTCGTATTCGCTCGACTACGATGCGAATCGGTATTTATGTCGAATGTCAACATTTTCCATCGGCTCACGTCATTACAGGTCTTCCAAGACATTTATAAAGGACGATGTAAAGTGCGTCTGCTTTAACTCTTCCGACGGTTGGGCAGGCTGGAGGTCCTACTGGCTAAGAATCATCATAGTCTAATGAAGGATGTGAATCGTTTATGGAGTTGAAACCGTGTCACTGTACTTGCAGACCACCCCAGGGTAATCTGAAATACCGCGCATTATGAATATTAAACTCTTCCGACCCGAAAGCTTATTCGATACGATGCTGTCACGGCGATACGATATGCAATGTTATTGGAATTGTATCTCGTAGAGAGCAATGCCGGACTCATTGGGCCTTAGATTGGGTTGAAGCTTTGTGCCAGCAAGACAACTTGTTCACTTTTTTAAATTATTGCAGACGTCAATAATGAGATACGATCGTCGGCACTTGTCAATTGAGAGCTTTAAATTAATGAGTCACCAGCCCCCTCCTACTTTGACCAGAACAAGATAGAAATGCTCGTTCTGCCCGCTGGTAGAGAATTTTGGACGCACATTCGAGCGCAGTGGGGTTGCTAACGAAAGCTCTCTCTACCTTTTAGTAGTCATAGTTCCCTCTAGATTGCGTAACAACCTCTCAACTATAATACATGTTATTCAACACGCAATTGACATTTCAGGGTCTGGCGCTCCTCAAAAGCATGAGCGAGGCGTCGTCGTCTCCGCGCTCCGTGAGCAGCAGCGCGCCCTCGTCGACATCAGGACCCCGAAGCAGTGGGCGTCGTGCCATTCATACATTCACTGAAGTGCCGGTGCTGGATATACTACAAAGTGCGTTCCCCTGCTGTCCAAAGTGCGTTCATAGGTGCACAGACGACAGACTAACTCGTGTCTCATTGCCTGCATCGACAGCGCTTCCATTGACAGCTGCCGGTCGCCCTGCGCTCTTTGGAAATGAAGTGGAGATTTACAGTGAGGAGAAAATTGGTCTGTACGATCGCACGTATAAGACGCCTCATATGTACGGCCGCTGCTCCGTCACGACACACCGCCTTTTCTACATGGACCAAAACAGTTCCCCACCCGTCGCGTTCTTTGTGCCACTAGAGTGGATCAGTAGGCTGACTAAAGAGGCAGGGTTCCTGCAACGCTCGGCTAAGTTGCGGGTCGACATCACGACCCGCCCGCCGTCTGCTGCCACTTCGTTCTTGAAATTGTCGTTCAAAGACAAGGGACGTGACGACTTTTACAACCCACTGGCAGCTTCGCTGAAGCGTAAGGCCTGGAAGGATACGCAGTCTAGTCATTTGTCTGACAGACGGCTTATAAAGAGACATTTCGACACTGCTGACGCTGGTATTGCGGGGATCATGCGGCGTCAACAAGAGGTGCAGAAAGAAACGACGGAACTCGCTGCTTCGGCGTTCTCCGACTTGACCAATCTGATGACCAAAGCAAAGGATATGGTCGGGTTGATCGAAAGGTATGTGGATATGCAGAGAGCGACGGAGTTGGCAGGAGAAGATACAGCGCTGTCTAGCGAAGACGACATGAACAAGCTTAGCTCGCTGATGCTGGATATGGGTATCATCAGTCCGGTGACGCGCGAAAATTCTGGCGCTACGTATTACGAGCAATTAGCTCGGCAGCTTGCTGAGTACCTTGGCGACCACATGCCGCAAAATGGAGGGATCATGACGCTTTCGGATATCTACTGCATGTTCAACCGAGCGCGAGGTGTAGAGCTTGTATCTCCTGATGATTTATACCACGCAGCATTGCTGCAGAAAAAGTTGGGTCTTGGATATAGCATGCGCAAGTTTCCTAGTGGACTCATTGTGCTACAAACAGACACGCACAGCGAGGACAAGGTAGCCGAGCGGCTTGCAAAGATGGCGCAGAAATCCAGTTCTGGTTACATCACATCGACGGACGTGTCGGTGGAGATGCACACGTCGTTCCCGTTGGCTCGAGAATATCTGAATGTACGTACAGCAGCAAGCGACCTTGTACTTGTCGATTGAACTCACGCGTCGGTATGATGTGCGTTTGCAGGTAGCCGAAAAGCTGGGAAAGCTCTGCCGGGACGAAACGTTCGAAGGGACCAATTTCTATCCCAATATGTTTGAGCAGTTCGTTTTGGCAAGCACTGAGGTAGACTAGAGTATTGCTCGGTGGTGTCAAGTGATTTGTTTTACTTGGGTGAGGCTTATTGCTCTCGGTAAGGTGAAAAGCTAATCCAAGATGCCAAGTCAACTACACCGTTTGCCAGTGAAGCGATCGACGTTATGCCATACGCGAGCCGATGAATGATACATCCACCGTCCTACTCTTCCGTCGATCGCGAATGGATAGCAAGCGATCAATTGGTACAGCGACGACACGCAACAAAGCGACCACCCGATTGCATGTCAACGTCAACGTCGTCGAAGTCAGTGTGTGCCTTCCTTGCCGAATGTATACTAGCGCCGGACATGACTTGACCCTCGTCTACGCCATACACCTTCCAGCGCATCACGCATACCACACTGCATTACTTCGCGCAGGTCCGCGCCGTCTAATTGCTGATGCTGCTTGAGCTTATGCGCACTCTCAACACTTTGGATCTGCCAGTAGGACACATATTTGATGCTTGGAACCACTCACTCACTACGAATGCCGCGACCTCGAGATCATTGCCACGCTAATTGTGGGTGCCTGGTGGTGAGAGTGCTGCATCGTCGAAAACGAGCGTGGCGACGCGATAGCGCAGAGCGGTGGGCAGTGCACGAGACGTTGCGTACTGGACGCCCGTTGCCTCGGCTGGCCACCCATGGCAGGAGCGTGCACTGGAGCTACTGCATCGTGTCAGAGACAATGAAAGAAACATGGTCGAAGAAGTACAGCAGATATCGTGACATCGTCCTCGCAGTCTTATTGTAGAAGGAGACAGAGTCGCGAAGGCAGTGCAAATCGATCGACATCGTGACGCAATTGAGGCCGGTCGAGAGGCAGATGTAGTGTGGCCAATGTGGCTATTCTTTGCCACGATGCAATTTGTTGGCTTGTCTTGCATGATGCCGACGCGACATACGATACGGATGCACCAGGCTTCGCGATGGAACCTATCCAAGCGTTGACGAGCCGGCCTGTACGAGAGTGACAAGTCTTGCATGTCGCTGGGATATGACAGCCATTGCTCGACTCGTTTTGACTCAGGAAGTGTGTTGCATCTACTGCTGAGATCACTTACGTGCTAGAGAGGAGATCGGCTGACAGCTTCCAACATTGGGTAAGAGCGATGGAAGGAAGTGAACGCAAAGTGTTGTCGCCAGGGAGCAGAGTATGACAAAATGTGGTTAAACCATAGAGCGATCGACCAAAGCGCATCGCTGCGTTGTACGGGCAGTCAATATACAGGAGCAGTCTAGCGGCCACTTATACCGCGCAGCAGGCGCACCTCAACCAGATGCGATGTGATGGCATCATTTCTTTATGACTCGTGGAGCTTGGCAAGACGATTGATGGCCTCTTCGATGGCCTCATCGGTCTTGCAGTACGCAAAACGCGCCCACTGGCTGCCTCTCGCCTTGTTAGCAGAACTAAAAAAGGCGGTGCTTGGGATGGCTGTGACGCCTTTGGCGATCGTGAGCCACCGACAGAATGCCCAGTCGTAAGTCAATTTCGGCTGGAGGAAGCTTCGGGGCACCTTCACGGCCGAAATGTCCGAGTACAGGAAGATGCCACCATTGGCAATGATCGGAACGATGCCCACATCCAGCAGCGCGCGACTAAGACGGTCGCGCTTTTGCTTGTACTGGTCAGCTACAAACGCGTAGAAGGTCGGAAATCCCTTGTAAGGGTTTTCCGCGATCTCCAGTATATTCGCGACGGCTTCTTGCAATGGTGTTGCGACACTGAACTGGATCCAATTATTCGCGAGGTAGATACCCTTGATCAAAGTACTCGGCCCGATGGCCCAGCCGACTTTCCAACCAGTGATCGAGAAGGTCTTGCCAGCACTCGAGACCGTCAGTGTGCGCTCCCACATGCCGTCGAGCGTGGCAATCCGGACGTGCTCAGCACCATCAAACACAATGTGCTCGTACACTTCGTCCGACACGATGATCACCCGCGGATACTGCCGCACGTATTTGGCAATCAGCTCGAGCTCGTCCTTGGTAAACACCTTTCCAGTTGGATTGTGCGGGTTGTTGAGGAGTATCGCTCGGGTCTTTGACGAAAAGCTTCGTGCCAGCGTCGATTCGTCAATACAGAACCCCTTTGCACCCGTTCGCGCATCCGTGCACACACTCAGTGGTACAGGCCGACACCCCCCACCAGCCGTCTGCACCTGAGCAGCGTAGATATCAAAGGCTGGTTCAAACACAATCACCTCATCTCCAGGCTGCACGAACGCAGTCACCGCGGCGTAGATGGTCTCCGTGGCGCCAACGCCCACTGCGACTTCATTGGCCCAATTGATTTCGCGCTTCAGTTCCTTTGCGTACTTCGTCGCCAGTGCCTCCACGAGCTTCTTGTGGCCCTGAGGACGCGCGTACTGGTTGAAGTCAGCGTCCAGCGCGTCCTTGGCAGCCTGTTTGACAAAGTCCTCGCAGCGCCAGTCAGGGAACCCCTGTCCCAAGTTGACGGCCTGGTGCTCCAGTGCCAACGGAGTGAACTCGTTCCAGACCGTTTGCTGGTCGAAGCCGTCGAGGCGCTTGGCGAGCTGCTCGGCCATGAGGCGGGTAGTATCTAAGCGAAGAAGTAGACGTTTCTCCGATGTAATACTGCCACTGAGGCCCGAAGTGTTGACGATGAAAGCTCAGCAGACTCTCACGTGTAGTGCTAATGCGACTGACAGTGTTCCGAGTGGACGACAGGAACGTACCACAAGAGCTACTGTGGCTACGGATGAAAGGGCCAGCGGAGGGACTTCCAAGATTGATGCATCGAGGTTAAATTCGCTACACTCGCTTATCTTGTGGGGTTTTACACGATAATATCTGCCTTTCCGTGTACTTCCTCGATGTTGTTCCCCTTTGTGTGTCATATATTCTACATGTGATAAGCTTGATGCGCGGGTAAAGCTCGCGAACAATGGACTGTAGGAGTTCATCGACGCGACGTGGCCCCAAAGATGAGGCTAGCGCGTCGATATGGAAAGACGAAGATACGAATGCCTTCGCAAACGTATAGACGACGGTCATTTGCAAGTCTCTAATCCATCGTTCGAAATGCAGCGTCTGCTAAAAAACGTGCAAGATATATAACGCTTTTTACCCTGTAAAAGTATTGTAACGGGGTGAGCCCGTAACATAAAAATTGATACGAATGTATCGATTTCTGAGTATTATCTATTTGGATAAAACTCAATCAATATCACCCGAGAACATGTTGTGTTGGCGGAATATTACCCCCGAGGGTAATATTCGTGGGTGCTCCACTTCATGGTTAATGTACACGGTACATCAACCAGATCAACTGCCAATCGCTGCTGGACGCGCAAACAAGGTGGTGAGCGAGAGACCCACATATGAGATGGTAGTCTAATATAGTCAGATCAAGAAAAAGATGACTCACAAAGAAACATCACTATATTCAATAACAGTTCTAGTTTTCCCTCAGACAGAGCTTTCGGGTTCTTATTAGTTCGTCGCGCTTCCCTACCCAGTGCACGTGACGTCGAGAGCACGCTGACTTGTGTTCAGTCAATAAAATACTTACTAGTCATCTGGGAAGAGTGTGCCCCGCTACAAGTATCCCTTACCGGGTACAGATGCGTCGACTGATGCACGAGATCGAGATACAGAGAGAAGTAGGTGTAGAAGATCGCTTTCTCAAGCTTATAATGCGTGAATGCCACTTCAAGATATCGGTAATAAAGTTGTTAACGATGAGCGACTCGTGTTTCTGCTTTGAAATTTGTCTGATACACACAAATGGGTTGTCAAGGATATCGAGAAAACCAAGAACATTGATGCATTCAATCCAAGGAGATGCTTCGTCGTGAAAACGAATACATTGTTTCGAAAGATCAAAGATAATTCGCGTTAAAAGAACAAGTGTATTTGAGAGCAAATATTATTGGTCATTGGTCTGAATAACGAAACTTCTGGACATGTTTTTTGTATTTTGCAACAAAATTGGTCACCAGAAGAAGAGTGGTGGTTAATCCCGAAAATGAGAAGAAGTACGCTGAGCTGGCATTTACGCTGAATGAAATGGCTCGCAAGGTTGGCTACTCGACATTGGGGCATCGATTCTCACGCGCCCACGTGATAATAGGAATGTGGATGTTCTTTCGCTCAAAGCTCTGCTCCTATTTTGATCGCGTATCGAGAAAAGGTGACAGCTGTTGTAATTTGAAGTATTCGTGTCATTTGTAGAATACTAATCAATTAGCAATATGTATGTCTTGTATCTTACAAAGTTGTAACGCAAGCTTCTTTTCGTTCCTTTTTTGTCCGCTGGATAATATCATGTCACCTTCCGCAACAAAACACGCGTTTCCAAGCATGACCAAGAAGTGGTGGCATAATTGCCTCAATGTGATATATGTTCTTGTGGTGGAGTGGAAATTACAAAAGTGCTGACGTGATCCCGACTATCCACCGGCGCACGGAAAGTTGACTGTCGTAGGAGGTACTCCATTTGTGTGTGTAAAATTATACCGTCTCGAGGTCTTTTATCTTAACGCACAAGTGCTTGCTGCGTCCGGTAGCAACTTATGTTTGTCTTGAGAGTCCCTGTTACTCCTGCCAGGGGGAAAACTTGGTAAATAGAACTACCGACAATTTTTTTGTAATGTCGAGCGGGCAAACGTGTCCTGACCGGAAGAGAAATCGACGCGCTTCTAAGAACTAATCAAGCATTCATAAATTTTATAAATGTTATTTAACAAATTATCGAATCCAAGACACTCTCATATTATATCTCAGGATCAGTTGCCACGTGTCGCTTTATCATAAAAATTTCCGCCGGAACAATTTCGTCCTTATCCGATATGTATTTCGATAATTCGTCTATTTGGCTGGCAATCGCGATTGCAGTGCGTGGTTCACGTGAGCTACATGTACACACCAACTGCGTAGCGTACACATTCATTGTGAGCTACATGGAGGTCACACGATCCTTTTTTGCTATCGTTAGGGCTTGCACGGATGTCGGGATTGCCGTTCTTTTGAATTTCCACATCTTGGGTGCAGTGCATCTGCCATATCCCAGATCTTCACATCTGTTTTATATCATAGAAAAAATAAAATTGTTACAATAGCTTATATTAAAATTTGCACATCCATCGTCCTTGGTGATCGCAATTCGTGGAGTCTTCCACAATCACAAATATTGGGTCGCGGATCGCGGATCTCTCCACGGCAGCTTATCTCTACTATATGAATGTCCAACTTGTCTTATATATACGTCATCATACTCTTTTACCTATTGACTCAGTCTCAACCACGACTTCAAACGCCCATTTCGTCCGTGCCGTCAATCATAATATTTCGGCCTCAACTAAGACACAATTTTGATGCACATTCCATCACTAAAAGCTACCAAAATCGCTTGCTATCACTTTGTCACACATCCTCATCCCGATGCATTTGTTTGCGGGCTACAATGTACATGTTGCTAATTATATGTCTGGATTGATGTAGGAAGATCTACACGGTCCCATCTGAAAAAGCGTAGTGGTGCATCCTAAGTTTTATTGATAACAGAAAACGATGTAAATACTGATTATAATAATAGACAAAGGCTTTATAGCCTCAAGTAGATTGTATAATGTGTGGAAAGCGCAATCGACTAAATGGTAACGCTTTTTTTTCTAAAACAAAAACTGCGTTCCATACAGTTAACTCATTTGATTAGCTAGATTCTACATTTTACCTTAATGTTTAAAACTTTCCAGCTTATATGCTTACACCTCGGTCGGTGGTAACTGCGTGCGTCAAGCAACATTTGATGGATTTATTTGCTGATAACATGGTCTATTTCAAGTCATGACTGGGTGAACCAACGGAAACGAATAACACCGCCAAGGGTGAAGCGCTTAATTGATATCACAAATGATAATAATTCTATTGATGTTCCGTAATTATGTAGATTTACGTAAAATGAATCTATATTATTACATTGCCCATATATGTGGCGAGTGCATAATTTGTATAGCTGTAAATTTTGCTGCGACGGAATTAAGTTTAGATGGACCCATAAATTTCTTGAAGGCTAAATGTTGTGGTGTAGTAGCTGTTAAGATATTAGCTTAATCGATTGTTCCATTACCATGTACTAAATCTGTCTCGCTCACGCTATACGTTAACACGATTTCGTGCATTCATTTTAGACAGGTCTCCATTGAAGAGATATCTTGATTCACCCAGGATTATATCATACTCGAAGTTGCAGAATTAAGGATTAAAATGTGCGCATATAGATCATGATGGGCGTACAACATGATCAATTCTTATTCTAGCTTTAATTCCCTATAAATTACCAATTAGGTGTATGCAAGATGCGTTTTGTGCTCACCCTTGCTACATTACTGAGGCAATTTTATATGCGTTATATGTGGTGGAGCGGGGTTCACAAAAATTGATTATGTAATCCCGCCTCTCCACTGGCGCCAAGATGATCGACTACCGGAGGGGGTACTCCGTTTCTGTTCTTGATTCCTCCATCACCTTGTGTAATCGTCGGTAGAACGGGCTGCACTCTTTTGGTAGACTCGTGTTGATGCTCTACTCGACCGTCTTTTCGACCTAGATTATCGCGTGAAAGTCTTCACGCAGTCACAGGTCACTCGTAGGTACTTGCTATGATCTACCTATACATCAACGAGATCGCCTTGTCCATTGTGTAGGTCTTGCTCTGCTTAACATTCTGACCACTTAAGGCGTCTCGCAATCTTGGTCACCCTTGATTTCATGCTGCGCCCTATCGCGGTTGTCTTTATGTTTGTGAGTGTACGATACGTATCTGGCCCAAACATCCAGGTTCAACACTTGTATAGACCAAAGGCGTAACTCTTACTTTCGTCAAGAGGCCAAAAATCTGACCCGGAAGAGACGACGCGTGTCTTTTTTGAAGTAAGTTGAGCTTTGTCAAATGTAAGCGAACCAAATTTTTAAACATACGACCTAGCCTTTCTATGCAACAGGCACTCTCCACGCGTCGTCCAATAAATCACTCTGTTGTTATTGTACATTTAAGGCTCCTGGATTTATCCCCTATCCCCGACACAAGTCAGGATCTGATCTTGGGTCAGATCCCCTCTTGGATCGGGTCCTCACTCGGATCAGATCCCCTCTTACTTCAGATTCCATCTTGATCGGATCCCCATTTGGATCGAAGTCCCTATTGAATCAGATCACCTCTTGGTCAGAAATCCTCTTGGCTCGGATCTCATGTTGCATCGGATTCCCTCTCGGATCGGATACAATCTCAGATCTGATCCCTCTAGGATCGGATCCCCACTTGGTCGACTCCCATCTTGTACCGGATCCTCTCTTATATAAGATCCCCTCTTAGAAGGGATGACCACTCGTATCGAATCCGATAGTCGTGATCCACCCATCCAATCCTCCTACCTAATCTATTTCCAGAGTAGCCATTATCGGGTCAATATCTCACGCCATTCGTTGATCCACTTCTCCACATATATGCTTGTACAAATTATAAAACTCTTAGTGGTCTCAAAGCATCATTTGTTCCACTGGCTTCTGAGCTGCAGTTTTTCCT